ACCCGACAATGATGCCCATTTTCATAAAAAAAAATTAAAAGCACTAGCCTTACATGACACGCCTGCGCCTGCCATGCACGCCCGTTGAGGCTGCCAAAAGCTACCTAGCTGTGATCGCTGAGGCCCTGCGCACAGTACCGTGCCGACCATGCAAGCTAGCCCTGGACGTGCCCGCGCTTGACAGGTAGGTAGAGCCGGTTGGCTGACCACCTCTTCTATAAATGAAGCTTATAGTAGTGGCTATATAATTTCATCTACTTGTCAATTCTATTGAATCTATAGTTTTTATTTCAAATATTATTGACATCCATCTTTAAAAATATTATCTAAAATAACCGCCCCCCTAAATATAGTTAGAATACGAAATCGTTTGCATCCGTGTGGCAGAACCGTCTAAAATAACTCATTTTCGAATGTGCTTATCTTCCATTAGATACTAAACACCTCAAGAGTGAGCTAATTTAAACAGTTCTGTCGATCACACCCCAAGGGAAAACCCAAAAATTCATATTTTTCAATAGGATCATAAATGGGAGAATAAAGCTTACAACATTTTAGCTATTTCTTACATCACTTTTCATACAACATCAGAGTATAATATTTATTGTTTATCACAGCGGAATATAACCATGTTATCAGAGTTTCAGAGGAAATAAAATCATTTAATGACAAGTTAAACATTAACATGATGATCTATTATATACATCATAACATGTTATAAGTTTTTCCATTACAAAACATTTTGGGTGAAAGTTTCAAATAAACTCTATGTCCGCAATGTTAAGGAGATCCTCACTGAGCCCACCAGGATATTCCCACACACAAGTATCAGCTCTAGCATCCACATCACACTGCAATAGGGTAAAACAAACCTTGAGTACTCAATTGTACTCTGCAAGATTTACCTGTCAAGAGGAAAGAAAAGACTCTAGGGATATGTAAGACTATCTGGCTTGTGGGCTTATTGCATCTGTAGGAGCATTACTAAACGTGCATCCTTATATTTAATTTTATTAGCAGTCATCATTAGTTCATTATCTAACCATTTTAGGTAAGCACATATGCTACTTTCAAGAAGGTGGTAAGCAATCCGAACCATTTTGTCACCTTCTATGTTTTAGTTCTTACTACGATGCTAGATCATAGCCAATTCGTACCGTATCACACGACGGTTCGCGAACCAATGTATCACAACTGGATATCACAAAACACACGCCCCGTTTGTACCTCGGGCACAAACAAGACCAACTCGTCTTACTCGTGTCAAGGGGTCCAGGTTCTCGTCCAAACTTGGACTCCAAGCCCCCACACCTGAGTGCCGGACTCGGTGCAGTGCTTGGACCTCCACCCAAAAGCCACCTCTAAAAGTCGGTCCGAAAAGAGCCGGAACCCATGACAAGAGAGTGACAAGTCTTCCCGCTCCCATAAGCAAGTATGTGCTCAGTATAATAAGTCTGTGACCTGACTACCATCCACAACAACGGACGGTCCTCAATCGACACAGGCGGGACAAATACAACCAGAGCCTCGCTCGGTTGTCTAACCAAGTCCAAATTCAAATCCAAAGTATAGTCCCGCTCGGTCTCCATTTATTACCCTGGTATATTTCATGTGATAGTAATATAATAATAATAATAATAATAATAATAATAATAATAATAATAATAATATTTTTCCTATCTCTCGCGAGTGACAGGTAATCACTCGACTTCTATCGAGGTCCTATAGCATAGCAGGCTACACGATCCTGGCATACTAGTAAGACTCATAGGATAAGGATAAATATATGTAAGTGGGTTTCATTCAACTCCTTAAACTTAATGCACAAGTATAAAATAAAGTACAGAATAATAGGAGTCATGCACCGGAGCTTACCTGGGAAAAATATAACAAAGTTAGTATCCCGTCTCCGTGGCACGTTCACCATAACACTATCTTTTGGGTTCAACACCAAGTCCTTTGATTGAGCCATTGATCCACTGTCGCTCCTATTATGATATGCAACAATGCAATACAGAGTCGATGCAATCCATTAAAAAGCAACGACAACTCTTAAAATAACGCACACACAGTCAAGCTACGACAGTGAGCTCTAATGACCAACTGATCCGTCGTAGCAGCGTCTATGCAAAGCAAGCGCTCATTCCCTTCCACTTACTATTCATTTCCTTGTTATTGATTAAACACATGTGAAAACAAAAGGCTATTTTATTTACTAAGCAAACAGTCTATTCAGAGTCTACAAAAATTACAGCAAGCTCATAATAATAGAGTAAAGCTACTATAAAAATTTCAAGTCTATTGCTTGCACCATTTTGTCACAAAAATTTCTACAACATAATATCTTAATAATACCAAGCATTTCAAAACAATTAGAGCAATCCTGAAAACAGTACAAAACTATACAAATAAAATACACTAACGATTAGATCATGATTTTAGGAACCTAACAAAATTAGTTTCATTATTTTTGGACACTTATATAATTTTATTTGGAATTTCACTACTGGAAACGTCAAATTTGCCGAATGTTTTTATGTTTTCCGAGTGTATTCCCTCGGGCACTCGGCGAACAAGTTCTTTACTGAGTGCTGCTCTAAAAACACTCGACGAAAAAAAACACTCGGCAAAGAGAGAGTTAGTCGAGTGTTAAAAAAAACACTCGACAAAGAGAGCGGTTTGCCGAGTGTTTTCATTTTTGCACTCGGCAAAGAAATAAAATCTTTTTTCTAGAAAGGAAGGAGAAGAAAAAAAAATAAAAAAAACTTTGCCGAGTGCCCAGATTTAGGACACTCGACAAAGAACAAAAATCCTACTTAATAAACCGGCCCCAGCGCCGCTCCGAGCACCCCGCCCTTCTCTTCCCCAGCGCCCCTACCCTCCTGGCCCCAGCGCCCCTCCTCTCCCTTCTTCCCCGCGGGGGCCCCGATGAAAGGTCCTAATATGGCTAGAGGGGGGGTGAATAGCCTATTTAAAACTACAAATCAACTAGAGCAATTTGATTAGTAAGACAAATAGCGAAATGTAAACTTGCTCTAGCTCTACAAGGGTTGCAAGCCACCTATCCAACAATTCTAGTTGCAATGATCTATTGGCACACAATCTACTTGACCACTACTCACTAAGAGCTCTCACAAAAGCTACACTAAAGAGCTCCACTAGATATGTTTAAAGCACAAGGCAAGCTCTCAATTCTAATTACACTAAAGAGCTTGCTATATCTAGTTTGCGGAAATATAAATGAGTAAGTGAGACGATTATACCGCCGGGTCGTGGAGTGAACCAATTACACGATGAATATATAGCCAATCACCGGGAGAATGCAAATGACAAGAAACAACCGATTTTTCTCCCGAGGTTCACGTGCTTGTCAACACGCTAGTCCCCGTTGTGTCGACCAACACTTGGTGGTTCGACGGCTAAGAGGTGTTTCACAAACCTCGTCCACACGATAGGACACCGCAAGAACCGACCCACAAGTGAGGTAACTCAATGACACGAGCAATTTACTAGAGTTACCTTTCGGCACTCCGCCGGGGAAGGTACAACTCCCCTCACAATCACCGAAGGCGGCCACGAACAATCACCAACTCGTGCCGATCCTTCACCGCTGCTCCAACCGTCTAGGTGGTGGCAACCACCAAGAGAAACAAGCGAAATCCGCAGCGCAACACGAATACCAAGTGCCACTAGATGCAATCACTCAAGCAATGCACTTGGATTCTCTCCCAATCTCACAATGATGATGGATCAATGATGGAGATGAGTGGGAGAACTTTGGCTAAGCTCACAAGGTTGCTATGTCAATGAAAATGTGCAAGAGAAGCCCCTTGAGTCGGCCATGAGGCTATAAATAGAGCCCCCATCAAATAGAGCCGTTGTACCCCTTCACTGGGCAAAACACGCTCTGACCGGACGCTCCGGTCATACCGACCGGACGCTGGCCCTCAGCGTCCGGTCGCCCGATGGACGCCACGCGTCACCAGCTTCAAACGCTGTTCGTCAGATTTCAACGGCTACGAAGCTGACCAGACGCTCCGGTAAAACTAACCGGACGCTGAAGCCCCAGCGTCCGGTCGTTTCCAGTAAGCTCCCCGAGACATGTTTTTTCGACCGGACGCGTCCGGTCCACCTTGACCGGACGCAGACCAGCGTCCGGTGCTCAACCCTTCCCACTGTGCCGTCTGACAGCTCGACCGGACGCAACCTTTCAGCGTCCGGTCGCTGAGTGACCCAGCGTCCGGTCAGTAGACCGACGCCAGCATCATTTCGACCAACTCCATTTCAACTCTAACTTCTTCACCCTTGCTCAAATGTGCCAACCACCAAGAATTTTGCATCCGGCGCAATAGAAAATAGACATTTCCTTTTTCCAAAAGCGCCGAACCCATCTCAACCCTACAAACACCTTGTGCACATGTGTTAGCATATTTTCACAAATATTTTCAAGGGTGTTAGCACTCCACTAGATCCTAAATGCATATGCAATGAGTTAGAGCATCTAGTGGCACTTTGATAACCGCATTTCGATACGAGTTACACTCCTCTTAATAGTACGGCTATCTATCCTAAATGTGATCACACTCACTAAGTGTCTTGATCACTAAAACAAAATGGCTCCTACATTTTATACCTTTGCCTTGAGCCTTTTGTTTTTCTCTTTCTTCTTTTCTAAGTTCAAGCATTTGATCATCACCATGCTATCACCATTGTCATGATCTTCGTCATTGCTTCATCACTTGGAGTAGTGCTACCTATCTCATAATCATCTTGATAAACTAGATTAGCACTTAGGGTTTCATCAATTAACCAAAACCAAACTAGAGCTTTCACCCGACCCCAGCGCCCCTCCTCCCCCGCGGGCGCCCTGCCCTTCCCCCTTCTTCTTCCCCGGCGGGCGGCCCTCCCCTCCCCCTTCTTATCCCCCGCCGGCGCAACTCCCGTCCCCCTTCTTCACCCGGCCGGATCCAGCCTCCCTCTCCCGGATCCGCTGGTGGTCAATGGGCGTGGTGGTGGTGGTGGCCCCCACCCTCCCCTTCTTCTTCCCGGCTGGTGCCCTCCCTCCCCTTCTTCACCCGGCCGGATCCGCCCTCCTCTCTGGATCCGGCCGGTGGGCTGTGGTGGTGGTGGTGGTGGTGGTGGCGGCGGGCGTGGTGGTGACGGTGGCCCTCCCTCCCCCTTCTCCCCATGGCGCCCCTCCCCCCCTTCTTCACATGGCCGGATCCGACCCTTCCTCTCCCGGATTCGGCCGGTGGATGCGGTGGTGGTGGTGGTGGCCGACGGCGGGGCGTGGTGGTGGCGGCGGCCCTCCCCTCCCCCTTCTACTCTGATATTTTGATCATGTCTGTGGTTGAGGTTTATTAGAGTTGTATAAGATGAATTTTAATGGGAGAAGTGGTTATATCATAACATAGGAGATATCTGCATTCATTGTGATGATCACATCATGCACTACCATCTGATCTCTCTTAAACATTTCATTTTTACTGTAAACTTTTACCAGTTTTATAGTATCTTGTAAGTCAGCAGTAGTTCTCTAAAGTCTAAATAGTTATTTGTTGGTTGTTGTATTTTTTATGTGCAATCTGTGATGCAAATTTCCATTTCCTGAATCACTGTGATTATTGCAACAAAAATCACCTTCTTTCGGCTGAGATTGCACCGCAAATTTAGTTTTTATTGCATTCAGAGTATGTTTTCTAGTGTAATTTGTTGTAGTCAATGCCATTTGGTATCTGACTTGCAGTCATTCTTTGTGATTGTGTGTCTCAAAACATGGCAGAATACAAGGGGGAACGGATCTTGCGACATTGGTTGCTTATTTATGAGTTTCTAGTTACTATATGCCCGTTTACATGTTCGATTGTTCTAATGATCATGACTGAAAAAACTGATGATTGTTTTTTCTTAGCTAGTTAGCCAACTAGGTGTAATTTATTTTCTGAATATAGTCTTTTGTTTTTTCTTAGCTAGCTAGCCAGCTAGTGTAATTTGTTTTCTGAATACAGTCTTACTATTATTATTGGAGTTCACTTGATTGGCCTTTCTGCTAGTGGCATCTTGACTGAAAACTGATGTGAATTTTTTATTAGTTATAGGTAGTCTCTGGATTATTATATTTCACTTGATTGATCAAAGTTTTATTTAACTGATGGATGATTTCTGTTACATTTCAAATTGTATGGTATTGGAATGCATATCTGACATGATTGCATTTGTATGCAGATGCCAAGCGTCTCATCGGCAGGAGGTTCTCTGATGCCTCTGTCCAGAGCGATATCAAGCTGTGGCCCTTCAAGGTCATTTCTGGGCCTGGTGAGAAGCCAATGATTGTTGTCCAGCATAAGGGTGAGGACAAGCAGTTTGCAGCTGAAGAGATCTCCTCTATGGCTCTCAGGAGGTTGAGGACTGCTTGTGAGAGGGCGAAGAGGACTGAAATATGCTGAGAAAAAAATTATTTTTTTTCTTTGGAAAATAGGTTTGCCGAGTGTAATTCAAAAACACTCGGCAAACAATAATGGTATGCTGAGAAAAAAATCTATTTTTTTCTTTGAAAAATAGGTTTGTCGAGTGTAATTCCTAAAAACACTCGACAAACAATAATACTTTGCCGAGTGTATTTTTAAAAAACACTCGGTAAACCACTTTTTTTTGCCGAGTATCAAATTTGACACTCACGATAAAAAAACACTCGGCAAATATCTGTTTGCCGACACTGTAGATGCCGTGTGCTGTTTGCCGAGTGTTACACTCGGCAAAGCCTTTGCCGAGTGTTTTTTAGTCTTTGTCGAGTGCCTGTGGCACACGGCAAAGTCACTGTTTCCGGTAGAGTTTATAAAATCAGCTCAGAAGCTAATTTGGGAAGCACTAATTAAATTGCTTGAAAAGGAAAAGGGCAAAACAGCCCGGCGCGACCCACAACCAAGCGAGCCGAACCAGCAACGCGGCCCAGCGGGGACGGCCCCGCGCGCACGCTGGCGATTTTTCAAAAGAGCCCCTGACTCTCCACAAATCAACCCGCCATCCTGCCTACTATTTCTTTCTCTCTCTAACGCCTTCACTTAACCCCCTGCGGTTTCTTGAATTCTAGCGTACAAGCCCCTGGACGCGTGCGCGTGACGGCGTGGCACTCCGATGACATACGACGGTTACGCCGGGTAAAAGAGCGAGGCACCGATCAAACGAACAAGCTGATGAGCATCTAGGAACAAAAGATGACCCCTAGGTGGCGATTTGGTGGCTAGCGGAGCACTACAACGATCTAGCCACGGCGGCAGAACGAAACAGCGCTGCCCCGCGACGGCAAAGTCGTTCTGGCACTTACAGTCAACGACGAGGCAAAATAGATGGTTCTTGAGCATCAACGACTCACCACACACACCGCTGAGGTGATGGTTGAAGCGGTGGGAGGCGGAGGAGGGCTGTCCACGTGCGACCGAGCGGCACGGCGGCGATCCGCGGCAGACACGACCGCGCCTCCGGCCGAACGGCTGTGGTAGAGGTTCCGGCGAGGTGAGCACGAGCTAGAGCGAGCCTAGGCGAGTCTAGTAGTGGTATTGGATTAGGCTCTACCGCTCGGCGCAACTTCTTCCCCTATTTCTACAGCTGTGGCAGCGGCAGCGACCGGTGAGGAAAGGAAACGCCAAATTGGCAATCAACAGCGCTAGGCCGGAACTCTGCGTAGGTGGTTCAGCTAGGAGACTTAATGGCGGGGACGTGGATGCGACAAATCGAGCTCTAGTGGACCGAGGCGCGCGAATTCTGAATCTACGCTCGTGAGGGGACGTCGGCCTGTCGTCCTTACTGACTGTGGTAGCGCATGATGAGTCCAATCGGCTCGGTGGTCTCCATAAATGAGCACGCAGGGAAGGGACAGAGCGCGGACAGGGAAACGCACAGTGGCTGCTTGCTTTCCTTGGATGGATACGGCTTTTGTCGGCGGAAGGGACAATAGAGAGGGGCCATACCTTGGGCCCAGTTTAGTTCACGATTTTTTTTGGCCAAATGCAAAAAAAATGGCGTTTTGACATTTGGGAACTAAACAGGCCCGAAAAATTTTGGGCCAAAAATTTTTGCGAATTCGGCCTGCTATGGCCGTGGCCTGCGTGCCCAACCCTATCCCTCTGTCCCGCAGCCGACGCCGAACCCTATCCATTCAGCTTGCTCGCCCAACCCTATCTGCGCCTCTCTCGCTGTCTCCATCGCAACGCCGCCGCTCTCGTCCTCGCCATCCCAGCGCCACCGCACTCGCTCCATTCCACCGCTGGCATTCAGATCCACCACCTCCACCTGTAGATCTACCCCACCGTCGTCCGAATCGACAAGTTCCTTTGCGCGGATTTGATGGCAGGACATGGCGACGACTTCCATGGCGAGCCTGCCGCATGCGGGGACGCCGACGCCGGCTTTACCCTGGATTTCTTGGGTAATGTCGGCGCGAGCCGAGTCTACAACGACGCTCCGGGTTCTAGCTCGTTACACACCGCCGTCGGGTCCAGCAGCCACTAGAACCCCAACGAGCAGATGGGCCGGCTTGACCTAAACGGCGGCCTCTCCGGCGTTTACCAGCAGTACGCGGACCACATTCAAGGAGCCCAGGACGTCTTGCCTCCCGTTCGAGTTTCGAGGGGCGGCGTGTCTCGGAGCCTCAGTTTTCGGCCGCCTAGCCACGTCGGAGTAGGTGGAGCTGCAGAAGGTGCTGCCTTCGACGGTCCGCCCGCATCCGTCAGAGGTGGCTTCGTCTCTCCTCTGCAGCGTCCAGGAAGCGGTTCAATCCATCGGTGGGCCGGCTGCTCCCGTGCACGGGGGCCGGGGCCAGCCATCCATGGCGACAATTTCGATGGCTCCTACGGTGTCCCTAACCCGGCAAGCACCTTCTCTGATGCATGTCTATTGTTCAAGTATCCTGATGTATGTTGATGTGTTACAAGCTTAGTTAAATGCATGTGTATTGTTCAAGTACGTTGATGTATGTTCATCTGTTAGATGCTCAGTTTATGAATTGTTCATGTATGCTGATGTGTTAGATGCTTAGTTTTTGAATTGGTCTTGTATGCTCGTTATTGTTAGCTGCATGTGTATTGTTCAAGTATGTTCATGTATGTTGATATGTTAGAAGCTCAGTTTATGAATTGTTCTTATATGCTTGTTAGTTTCAGCTGCATGTCTATTGTTAAAGCTTGTCAGTGTTTATTGTTCAATATTGCTGTCCCTCTTCACCGTTTAGGTTCAGAAGCATAAAGCAAATTGGTTACCAGACAACATAGAGAAGTTCTGTGACTCCTACCTTGCCGAGATACATGCTGGGAACTATCCAGGAGGACAGATGAACAAATTTGGGTGGAAGAACATCGCTCGGTGGTACTATTTAGCATCAGGATTGATGCATGACAGAGAATAGCTTCAAGGCAAGCTGAGGACACTCAGGAAAATATGGACATTGTGTGACAAAGCACAAAACCACACTAGCTTAGGTATAGATGCAGATGGAAAGATTCATGCTTCTGACCAATGGTGGAATGACAATGCTCAGGTAATTTGTTATATAGGTTGCTCTGTTATTAACAAATGTTAATTCCCTAATTGCTTGACAACTACATCGGTCTATATTGTACAGGGTGACAATGATTTGCTGAAGATTAGAAGGGAAGGTGTGCCTGCATACTTGGACCAGCTGCATGGCATGTTCAAAGGAAACACAGTTGATGGGACAACCTCCTTTGTTCCTGCTGCAAGAGAGACCATTGACTTGAATGATGATGATTCTGATGAAGAAGCAGGACACGAGCAGGAGGACGAACTAACCCCTATGAGTGTTGGAAACAAGAGGACCAGCAGTACAAGCACAACTACATCCAGTCCCAGCAAGAGGTCAAAGAGCCCAGCTGTGAGGGCAATGACCATCCAAATGACCACACACAATGACTTAAGCAGAGAGAGGCTACAGTTCTTCAAAGATAGAGAGAGCAGAAGGGAGGAAGTGCTGCAGAGATTAGTTAAGGACAAGTCCTGGAAGATAACAGAGTGCACCAGGATAGCTCTACAAGAGCTGGGCATCAGTAGTACAACGAAGACTTTGTTTTCTGGGTTGCACAAGCTAGTGCAATCAGAAACTGAAATGGACTTCTTCCTTGCCCAAGACACTAAGGAAGGGAAGATGCATGTCATCGAGCTGAATATCCCGCAGCATGGCCCGGTGGACAACTAGAAAACTTAGCCTTATTTGCATGTAGGGCATTTGGTGCAGGGCGTAGGAACTTGTTGTGTCCTGTTGTGATGTGTCAGTTAAATTTGAACTTATTATGCATGTACGATGGGTTTATTTGCTGTTTTCCTATATTAACTTATGGAATGGATATATGTGTCAGTTAAATTTGAACTTGATCATGTGGGATGGCAGGGAGTGATGCATGGGATTCATGGACTGTTTGATCAAATGACTGACTTGCTCTTCTCTCTGTCCATGACAGGTTGGTGATGATGATCAGGATACAAGAAGACAACAGTTGCTGCAGATGATATTGGATGATGATGATGATGAGTTGATGGAAGAGCTAATGAATGATGACGAGGATGATGAGTTTCTCTATAGTATGTACCAGTTTGCTGTTCACATTGACAAGTATATGAATAGGGCTCAGTATAGGAGTCCAAGAGTGAGTGGTTTCCAGTGGGTGCATGATAAGCTTGCCAACATTAATTCTTGTTACAACATGTTTAGAATGACCCCAACAATGTTCTATAGCCTTCATAACTTGTTAGTGGACAAATATGGGCTCAAGTCTACCACTAAGTCCACATCTGTTGAGGCTTTAGGGATGTTTCTTTGGATGGTAGGAGCACCACAGTCTGTTAGGCAAGCATAGGACAGGTTTGAGAGGTCATTGGGCACTGTTTCAACAATGTTTACCAAAGTTTTGAGGTGTTTGGTCAGGCTTGCTGCAGACAATATTAAGCCAGTAGATCCACAGTTCAGAACAATGCATCCTATACTCAGAAGTAGTAGATTTTATCCCTACTTCAACAACTGCATAGGGGCTATAGATGGGACTCATGTCCCTTGTGTCGTGCCAAACCATTTGTTTATTCAGCACTTGTGCCGCAAGAGCATCACTACACAAAATGTAATGGCCTGTTGTGACTTCGACATGATGTTCACATTTGTTAATGCTGGCTGGCCTGGATCTGTTCATGACATGAGAGTGTTCAATGACTCTACAACAACATACTCCGCAGTCTTTCCACATCCACCAAATGGTACGTAGGTACACATGAGTGCAATTGTTCCTTATTGGTTATGTACCTGTTGCTCATAATTTGTTTGCTGCTGTAGGCAAATACTATCTAGTGGACTCCGGGTATCCTAACCGGCTGGGTTATCTTGCTCCATACAAGGGAAGCAAGTACCATCTTCAGGACTTCCGCGACGGCCCCGAGCCACAGGGTAAAGAAGAGCTCTTCAATTACACACACTCTTCTCTTAGGAATGTTAGTGAGAGGTCATTCGGGGTACTTAAAATGAAGTGGCGGATCTTGCAAAAGATCCCTCCTTATTCACCTGAGAAGCAAGCCCAAATCATTTGTGCATGTATGGCTCTTCATAATTTTGTGAGGACTAGTGGCTTAGCAGATAAGCATTTCGGTAGGTGTGACCGAAATGAGAACTTTGTGCCGAGACAAGCTTATCAAAATCAACCTCAACCCGAGGTAGTGGAGGATGAGGAGTGGTCATGCATGAATGTCATCCGTGATTCACTTGCTAATGCTCTGATGGATCGTAATTGACAGTTTTGTGTGGTTCATTACATGTTTCTATAGTACAGTGTGTTACGGCTTCTGTGAATGCTTGAGCAGTCTGTGATGTAATAGGGATGAATAATTGTTGTGAATGTTGCATGAGAAAAGTCTGTTCATTATGTGTTTGAATAATTGATGAATGAGAAAATTCTTTTCAAAAATCTGCGTGGAACCAGTTTGATTGAGTCTGCACCAGCAGTTTGCATGGAACACATTTAATGCAACCGAAATCTACTATTCAATGCTGACTGCTGGTGCAAAATTCTTGGCAAGTAAACAGCAAACTGCAAAAACTTGTCAGTGTCAGCATTTTGGTGTGCTGGTACCCCATTTTGGATTTCATGTATTTGGCAAAAATTTTGGGGAACTAAACTGGCCCTTGGTACAGCTCGGCCTTGGCCTCAGCAGGTTGGGCACATGGCACAGTGCTTGGTGGGCTGCAAACGACAACGACGAAGCAGCATCGGCCAACAGCCTCGCGTGCACACACGGCGACGACGGCACGGCGGCGGTTGCATCGGCACGGACAGAGAGGGACAGCGCTGGGGCGACACGGCAACAGCGACGGCGTCGGCCAGGCAGCAGCCAGCCAGGGCCGGTCAACGCTGGCGCGCGGAACAGCTGCAGCCAGCCCTTGCGCGGCACAGCCGACGCACAGCGCGGCCGAACGCAGCGGCACCAAGGCAAGGGCGCGGTGACTGCGGCCACAGTGCCGAACGGCCGAACTAATGCTGTGCACGAATTTCAAAGCGCGCTAAAAACTTCAAGTTGCTCAGACACTTCCCAACCATTTCAACCAAGCTCGAGAAGATACTTAGGGCTACTAAGGAAGGCAACAAACATGTTCCTAGATGGCTTAGAGAGGGAGGTAGAGGGAAGCCAAACCGGCTTTGCCAGAGATAAAGCCAGAGCAAGAACCGACCACGCAACAAGATTTCTAGCAAACGCAAAGCAATTTTTCAGTGCCCAAAACAAACACTAACACAGCTAACAACTAACCTATGCTTTAGAACCATGTTTGGTCCAAACCATAGAGCAAAAACATTACAGCTATGTTTAGCAACATTAGCAATTTAAATTGCTAAAATGACAATGTCCACTACTTTTGGACTTAACCAAATTCTAGGGTAAGAGTTTGATTAACAGCCATTAACACTTTTGCCACCGCTTTTACAAGACCTAAAGCTTATCAACTTCAACCAACAAATATCTCATGCAAATAGCTCATACCTCATACCAAACCCTAGGAACAAAACATTAGGGCACTACTTAGTTATTTTGTACAAAATAGTTCGCAAAAATGGTACTTTATATCTAAATCCAGACTTTTTGCCGTTTTAACGATAATGGCAGATTTTAATTTCAAACTCAATTTTTGAGTTTCCAAAAATACCAGTTAGCAATATTTATTTTCCGAAACAAAAGTTGCATTTCCATCTACTAAACTTACACTTCGAATTTTATTTAAGTACCATATACAAGTCGTATTTTATTTTTGTTTATAAAAATTGTTTTTCGTGCCAAACAATTAAAACGACTTATCCTATTTTTGTCGTTAGGATTTTCATTAGCACCTTTACGCACTAAGTAAGTTAATTTAGACATTTATTTGAGGCCACAAAATGAGTCACATAGAATTCGCATATCATTTCATATGCGTTATAAATTTTTAAAACCCGAAAACTTGTTTGGCTCATCCCTCTTGGGCCTCAATCTCGGTGCTAAGCAAGCTCGTAACACCAGGGGTGTTACAGTCCGCTAGTGTGAAAAATAACCTAAAGTGACAACAATCCTGTAAATATTTTTAACTAAAGTTCCCAAATATGCCACTACTATATAATGTAAATATATAACACAAGACGGCCCACTAAGCTTACATACATTAAAAAGAATACCGTGCATGCGTTTTACAATTAAACTAAAATTCCAACAGAATCCTAGGCACTTTTGAAGCGAAACCTGCTTGTGTTATGGATGATGGCATGATGTACTCACTACAAAGTGGAATGAAAATGGAACGGAGGAGAGCCAGCTAGCAAGCGGCGCACTCACGTACGGTGCTCTTATAAATTGGTCATTTCTGCGACATGCGTGAGTGGGGATAGCGAGAGAGAAGATCCAGTCAGCCTGAGTTCTGTTTGTGCGCGCGCGCGCAATGCATGCAGTGCAGATCTGGGCAGCCAGCGAACGATCTCTATGATTGCAATGATCTTCCAAAGTACACACATGAATCCGATCTCTCAGTCTCATCAGGGGGGGCTTGATGACAGCATGAAAGATTACTCGGTTTAATCTCTATGCTTGGATGGGCGGTGTGTGCTGGACCGTACCTAGATCTAATTTAAGGCAGGTGGAGCCGCCCGCTGAACTTTGAGAAGGGTAGGGGAGACGGGACTCTATCTAATCTCAGAGCAATACTAGCTAGTCCACCAATCCATACATGATGCTATCTCTTACATTGGCTAGCACTGTTAAGATACATAAATGTAAACATAATAATCATGAGTTAAATTGAGCCATTTTTTGTTTATCTTTATCACAACATATATATCCATGCATGTGACATATTATCTTATATTTACTTGTTTATATGGTATACTTTGGCTACCAATTACTTTATATATTTTTCCTTTCTACTTCAAGTTATTCCAATCCCCACTCCCTGTGCATCATATCTTGTTTTTTTATATATATGTTTAGCTTGACCCAAACACTACACCGGAACAGAAAACCATTGTCGGTTAGTAACCGGATTTCACTGTTGGATTATCCGATAGTGGGAAACAGGCAGTGTTGATGTTGGTGTTTTATTGCTGGTTTTTAACCCGACAATGATGCCCATTTTCATAAAAAATTTAAAAACATTGGCCTTACATGACACGCCCGCACCGGCCATGCACGCCCGTTGAGGCTGCCAAAAGCTGCCTAGCCGTGATCGCTGAAGCCCTGTGCACAGTACCACGCCGACCATGCAAGCTAGCCCCGCACGTGCCCGCGCTTGACAGGTAGGTAGAGGCGGTTGGCAGGCCACCTCTTGTATAAATGAAGCTTACAGTAGTGGCTGTATAATTTCATCTACTTGTCAATTCTATTGAATCTATAGTTTTTATTTCAAATATTATTGACATCCATCTTTATGAAATATTATCTAAAATAACCCACCCCCCTAAATATAATTAGAATACGAAACCGTTTGCATCCGCTAGTGTGAAAAATAACCTAAAGTGACAACAATCCTATGGAGTCAGACAACGCGGAGCCGCGGACGGGTGCACGGACCGGACCAAGTTGCCTGCCTTGCCTGGGTCACCTGCCAGAAACGGTCTCCTCCTCCTCCCTCCAAGCTTGGACGCGATCCCATCTCGGGATTCACCCAGCCCACCGGTCAAACGTTTCCACCCACCGCGCCGTCTCCTCTCCCTCCTCCTATAAATAGCCTCGCCCCTCGCTCCCAGCTCTCATCAACCCAGCTCTCACATTCTCATCAGTCGTCGCCCATCCAAATCCACTCCAAGCGACCTCGATCCGCACACGGACACCTGATCCAAATCGGCCATGGCGGCGGCTCTTCAGGCACAGCGCCTCTTCCTGACGGCTTCCACCTCCTCGTCCTCGTCCTCGTCCTCGTCGCTCACGACGTGGCCGCGCCGGACCACCGCCGCCCCCTGCCGCGCCGGCCTGCGCGTGCCGTCTGGTGTCCAGACAACAACCGCGTCCTCCATCCCGGCGGACGGCGGCCTCAAGCTGGACTGGATCGACGTGACCACCACCAGCGGCAGCATCGCCTCCTCCCCCGCCGACCGCAACACGGCGGTCGACAAGCTCCGCGCGGTGGCGGAGGCCGCGGCGGACCGCGCCGAGATGCACGACATCATCGGGCGGCAGCGGGACAACTGGAACCACCTGCTGCTCCACTCCACCAACTCCCTGACGCTGGCGGCCTCCGTGATGGCCGCGCTGGGGCCCGCCGCGCCGGGAACCGTGGCCGCGCTCAAGGCCTCGGCGGGGGTCCTCCTCGCCACGGCCGCCGTCACCATGGCCGCCGTCAACAGGGTGCAGCCGTCGCAGCTCGCCGAGGAGCAGCGCAACGCCACGCGCCTCTGGAGGCAGCTGGAGCGCGACGTCCGCGCCACGCTCCAGCACGAGGCGCAGCAGGTGACCCAGGCCGACGTGCAGGACGCCATGGACAGGGTCCTCGCGCTGGACGCCGCGTACCCGCTGCCGCTGCTCCCGGGGATGCTGGAGAAGTTCCCCAAGGCCGTGGAGCCCGCGCGGTGGTGGCCGCGCCGCCGTCCGCAGCAACAGCCGAAGAGCAGCAGCACCACCACCCGGTCCAGGAGCTTCGGCCGCCGCGGCGTCCGCACCACCTCCAACGGGTGGAGCCAGGAGCTGGAGGAGGAGATGCGCGGCCTGCTGCGCGTGCTCCGTGCCAGGACGAGCACCAGTACCTAACGGTGGGGAAGCTGGTGCTGTCCATCAACCGCGGCCTCGCCGTGGCGGGGCCTGCGCTGGCCGGCACCGCCGCGGTGGCCGCGGCCTTCATCGGGACCGGCGACGGCGCGTGGGCGTCCGGCGCCGCCGCGGCGGCGTGCGGCGCGCTGGCGGCGGCGGTGAACACGGTGGAGCACGGCGCGCAGCTGGGCATGCTGTTCGAGCTGCTGCGCAACTGCGCCGGGTTCTACCGCAAGGTGCAGGAGGACATCGAGGCCGCCCTGGGGGAGGCCGACGTGGAGCGGCGGGAGAACGGGGAGGTGTTCCGGACCAAGGTCGCCCTGCTGCTGGGCCGCGACGCGGCGGAGCTCCGGCAGTTCAGAAGGATGGCGTCGGCGTCGGTGAAGGATGACGACATCAAGGACTACGCCGGGAAACTCTTCTGATCACAGTTCAGGCGGATGTGCATATATACCATCTAAACGCGGATTAATTAGTTCGAGCACAAATTGAGGTGTTCGTGCATACTAGGACTCTAGGTAGGAAGAGGAAATTCCATTCCATCGATTCTTTTTGTAAGTAACAATCCTCATTCATTATTCGAACTGTGAAATGGCAATTCTTTGATTGAGATTATATTCGCCGGCCCATCTCGTTGGATCTCAAATTTTGGCCATCAGTATGTATTGCATGGCATTTGTCAACTGCGGCCGTCGTGTTGAAATAGTCCACACAAATGCAGAGTGTCATAGGCAACACATGCGGGGCGCAATGTACTTTCAAAATAGTGCACGCAAAGGTTGCATCTAGATGAAACTTCTTTTATCTCTCTCTGTCTCTTCACTAGTTCCTTGCAACATCATAAACACACACACTGACATGGCACTCTTAACGAACGAGTATAAAAACTGCCCACTACAAGTGGCCTAATGTGATGATGATATTATCCATAACGTTGATGTTGTCCACCAAATAACCACCTCCGTTTAGTAGGATCAATCAGTGGCATGCCTTTCTGGAGCCCATCATGAACACGGACTGTCTTTTCTGCATTGGGTGGCCAGGCTTCGAAGTTAAGTACCATATCTGTAGCATACTTAAATCCCAAATGGAAGGTTACGCCTTTATATTAATTAATTAATAAGAGTATAATTATCGTTTTGTAGAGTAGCCTGTGTGCATCCATTCGATCGCCTCATTTAGCTTAGAATAGATTAAATGAGTTCATTGTCTTAATTATACTACCCTTGATGATTGTCAGTTTGGCACCACCAAGATGGCTGGGTGGAGGGTGGTGTGTGTGTGTGTGTGTGTGTGTGTGTGTGTGTTCTCTTGTGTGTGTGTGTGTTCTCTTGTGTTATTCCTTGGAAGGAGCCTTGAATCCAGGGGCGAAGCCAGCCGGAAATTGCATTGGGGGCAGCGTTATTGTAAAATGATAGACTCAATCCAGAGATGCAAAGATTTAATTAAGGAATTACATGATTTCTCTGTTTGCGTTGATCGCCTGAGAGCTCTGGAAAGAAAGGAATGCGAGGTGCTTCCGCGGCAAACACTCAGGTCAATGCACTGATGGCGATCATCAAACATCAAGCCGAGCAGTGGGTGCAGGCCGGCGCCAAGCACCTTGGTTGCCTTCTAGAGCGATTAATAGGCTAAGCGTCGTGTCGTGTCGGTGAGACAATGAGCTTTATTGAAAATCTTTAAGTGATCCCCGTTGTAATCAAACTATAAAGACGTGCAAATTTTTTGCGTGATCGAGAAAAAAAAAGGAATTACATGATTTAGGCCCCTGCTTCAATCATCCTTCAGCTGATTCAGTCCGAAATATAGTCATGTTCCACGACGAGGAGCTAACTTGGTGTGTTTCGGCTGATTCAGCTGATGGGATTTGCAGGGGGTTCTCAGTTGTATGGGAAGACAGACCGACGTTCTTAAAAACACACACACACAGACCGACAAGCGACGACATTGCAAAACGACTTGGAAGATCCTGAATACTTAGTCAATGGTCATTTGCGATGCTAGTTACGGTTGCTACGGTTGCTAATTACGAACAGCCATGTGGTGTGGGCAATGACTTGTTCTTCAGGCTTCAGTTCAGAGACGGCGGCACGGTCAATTCAAGCTAACGGTTTCAACACGACCAAAATCCTAGACGCGCCAGGCACGAGCGACGACGCCCTGGCTGCATCCGGATTCAGTCGGAAAACTCAGTTCAGGTCTCGGCTCCGGCGTGTGTCCTGACCAAACTTGTTCTAGTTTCCTGTTGTAGTATTGCGACAAAACTTGGCTTGAATTTCAGGCGGTCCTGCACGGGCACGGCGAATGGCGACGCAATGGCTTGGAATAATGAATGCCATTGCCATGAGCCAGTCGCCCAGTGTGAAATTCTGAATACATTTTGTCTAAAGTCTGAATGGAGCTGCAAAGAGCGTCTGGTCAGGCAACAGGTTTGATTACCAGCAAGAACGGTGGATGCTGGAACAACCTCATCATGACTATGTATATAGCTGAAAAATGAACGAACTGGATCTCAGAGCTAGCCGAATTCACTGCAGTTTGCTTCCATCACAGTTCACAAAAGCATAATCTGTCTGTTTGCACACGTTGACGATCAAATAAACTGACTACTACCACTACCATGAACAGATAAAAAATAGAAAAAAAACCCCCAACTACTTGAATGGATTCAACAACGATTTGGTGCAGAACAGTACAGGATATAGCATCCAGCTTCCGTGATATTCATTTTATCCGGTACCGGGTTGGAGCTATGCTGCTATTTCTTCCTTCTAAACGATCTACGCCTGCTTCAGAGACATGGCCCTCGCACGAAGGTTCATAAATATCCCCCTGCACAAGCAAAAACGAGAGACAAAGGAGATAGGTATGGCAAGTGGTACATGGGGGGAAAAGGTTTTGTACGATGTTCAGGCCAAAAGAATTGACACCCTACTGCTTGTGGCTCGTGTGATCCTCGTCTTGTGTTGGTTGTGCGGCACCTTATTGAGGATTTGGCGTGTGATGCCAATTAGCGTGTGAACCTCCAAGTGAGTGAATCGCCACAACGAGGATAATTATTAAAGCACGCATCACCGTCCAGCTGTCTAGGCAATAGTAAAGATGAATAATTGAAGACTTCGCCTTAAAGGCTCCTCCAAAAGATAAGCACGAATAACGCCTTCAGAAGGCTCTTCCTGCTCTATAAGAGGAGAAGTCGGACGCATGCATTCAACAGACAAGAGAGAGACATAAAAGAAGAAGAGGAAGCACCACTGAAGACCACCAACACCAACACATCCACTCTACCTTCGCATAATCATGAAGACCATAATCTCAGAAGTCCTCTGAGAATCATCCACCACTAATAGTAATACTCCACCATCACTGTATTACTCCACCACCTTTGTAAATTAGAGAAGAAAGAAAGCAACTGTGATCTTCCTGCGCTTGTAAGGTAATAACTAAGGTTTGTACTAAGTGCTTGGAGTTTTTCGAAAGGAAAAGTCGTATGTAAGTTTGTTCTGTGGAAATGAATTAAGCTTTCCTGTTTTAATCCATGTCTTTCTTTAAGCTCGTTCATATGGGGAGATGTCTCTATGCTAGGGACACTAAAGGAGAAACCTCTGTGTGTGTTGTTCTCATGTTAGTCCTGATAGCGGCATTTGTAGAGAACCCTTGTGCGCAGAGAAGTGTTCCCTTCGGGTGAAACTGTATGGGGGAGACGATAGAGCCTGAGTTCTATGTGTGCGTGGCTGGGGATAGTGAGGGAGAAGAACAGGTTAGCCTGAGCTCTGTTTGTGCGCGCGCGCAATGCATGCAGTGCAGATCTGGGCAGCCAGCGAACGAAGCTGCCGGTGCTGCTATCCTTTTCGCGCGCCTTCACATTCTCATCACGTAGTACGACACGCCTCACGCATGCCGGCTGCCCGGCCGAAAGACAAGTGAACGAGGAGGATGACGCTAGATAGATAGCTGCCCGCGCTAGGCGGGTTGCTAAAAGTTTGTTCTTTTGTAAGGCATAGTACGATATATCGAAAGTTGACAGTTAGTTGGGTTTGCACAAAAGGGCACCTGCCGTACGACATTCACAATTTGCAACGATCTTCCGAAGTACACACATGAATCCGATCTCTCAGTCTCGTCAGGGGGGCTTGATGACAGCATGAAAGATTACTCGGTTTAATCTCTATGCTTGGATGGGCGGTGTGTGCTGGACCGTACCTGGATCTAATTTAAGGCAGGTGGAGCCGCCCGCTGAACTTTGAGAAGGGTAGGGGAGACGGGACTCATCTAATCTCAGAGCAATACTAGCTAGTCCACCAATCCATACATGATGCTATCTCTTACATTGGCTAGCACTGTTAAGACACATAAATGTAAACATAATAATCATGAGTTAAATTGAGCCATTTTTTGTTTATCTTTATCACAACATATATATCCATGCATGTGACATCTTATCTTATATTTACTTGTTTATATGATATATATACTTTGGCTACCAATTACTTTATATATTTTTCCTTTCTACTTCAAGTTATTCCAATCCCCACTCCCTGTGCATCATATCTTGTTTTTTTATATATATGTTTAGCTTGACCCAAACACTACACCGGAACAGACAACCATTGTCGGTTAGTAACCGGATTTCACTGTTGGATTATCCGATAGTGGGAAACAGGCAGTGTTGATGTTGGTCTTTTATTGCTGGTTTTTAACCCGACAATGATGCCCATTTTCATAAAAAAAAATTAAAAACACTAGCCTTACATGACACGCCTGCGCCTGCCATGCACGCCCGTTGAGGCTGCCAAAAGCTACCTAGCTGTGATCGCTGAGGCCCTGCGCACAGTACCGTGCCGACCATGCAAGCTAGCCCTGGACGTGCCCGCGCTTGACAGGTAGGTAGAGCCGGTTGGCTGACCACCTCTTCTATAAATGAAGCTTATAGTAGTGGCTATATAATTTCATCTACTTGTCAATTCTATTGAATCTATAGTTTTTATTTCAAATATTATTGACATCCATCTTTAAAAATATTATCTAAAATAACCGCCCCCCTAAATATAGTTAGAATACGAAATCGTTTGCATCCGTGTGGCAGAACCGTCTAAAATAACTCATTTTCGAATGTGCTTATCTTCCATTAGATACTAAACACCTCAAGAGTGAGCTAATTTAAACAGTTCTGTCGATCACACCCCAAGGGAAAACCCAAAAATTCATATTTTTCAATAGGATCATAAATGGGAGAATAAAGCTTACAACATTTTAGCTATTTCTTACATCACTTTTCATACAACATCAGAGTATAATATTTATTGTTTATCACAGCGGAATATAACCATGTTATCAGAGTTTCAGAGGAAATAAAATCATTTAATGACAAGTTAAACATTAACATGATGATCTGTTATATACATCATAACATGTTATAAGTTTT